ATGCAAGGAAAATAAATGTATTAAAGTAACCAAAGCTTCGTAGTTCTGGTCAGTCATCAATACAGTTTTAACATGTATAAGCAAGGAAGGTAAAGGTATGAAAAGTAACTAAAAGACAATGAAGAACTGAAAAGTAACTAAAGATTATAAAGTAACTAGAGCCTATAAGAATCAAATCTTACAGGGGAAAGGGTTATAGATATACTGTAGCTTTCTTTCAAGACACAAATAAAGAAATGAAGGCAAATGAGCTGAAAAATAAAACAAACTAGTAAAGGATAAAATGTTGTAAATATTTAATTTATTATTGATTATTTATTGGTGTTTTTGATTATTTTTATTTTCAACTATATAGTGATAAAGCATTTGAAACCAAAATAAGAAACCTCTTTGTGATAATATATTAATTTGTGACATACAAAGGTTTAGTTTTAGAAGATTGCCACCTTTAAACAGGCTGTCAGTATAAAGTGTAAAGTTCCTGCTTTGTCCAAAAAAGGTGATTATAGATCTAAGAGACTCTTTCAGTCATAACTTTATGCATTGCATTCACCAAAGGAAAAAAAACTGGAGGAACTTGTCTCATAATGATAAGATGTGTTTCTGTTATTTCTTTTTCTTTTTGGTGAGTGCAGTGCACCTCTGTTACTTACAGATGTTGAAAGAAAAACCCATTTTTAATTTGATCAGGGATTCATTCCAAAGTGGCTCAAATTTTAAAAAGGAATTGAAGCAGGATTTAGATGTGGCACATTGCTGTCAAAGCCCTGTCCTATGTGGGAATCAAAATAAACTGCACCGTGTGAAAGTTCATGATAATGAAGCAATGTGTGACCTAGTGTAACATTGTTTTAATAGTCTCTTGACAACAGTGGAGCTCTAAGATATACTCTATTAGTACATATATACTGTAATAATTGTTTTTAGGATCAGTTTGTTGTTGTTTTTGCTTGTGTTGTAATGGGATTTGATAATATATGAAAATCTATAAAATATTGCCAGACATGTCTTTTAAGGGCTGGTCAAACTTTATGCAAACTGAAAATGCTGATTTATGAGCTGAGGAATTGCATTGTTGTTTTATTTGGCAAATGTGGGCCTAGACTGTTTTTCTCCCACAGAGTATGCATTTTTTATGAAAGAAAACAAACCATGAACATCTGAACTCATTGAGAACCTTGGAAGTCTGAGTCAAAACACACCCTACACTTGAAAATTTCTGAAATCCAGAAATACATAGTGAGTATAAAGCGCATAGCACCCTGCACCCCCTCTCCATGCTTTTCCCCTCTGCTTTCAACTTCTTGATCTCCAGCATATCTGATGCAGAGTTCGGCTGGCTGGCGTTGTCTGTGCTCTCCTACCTCCTTCTGACACAGGACTAGATCCTAATTGCAGACTCTGCTGATGCACTCCTAGGAAAACAGAGCGGCAAACAGAGGAGACCAGATATAGGCAGGCTGTCAGAGATGGGTTACAGGATGGGGGATGAGGAGATGCAGATATATGAAAGAGAAGAAAGTCATAGTATGAGAAGGAAGAACAGGTTATCTCAGGCTGTGAGCCAGGAAGGATAAAGCCTGTCCCAAATCTCAGCTAATGATCCTGCAAGAGATTCCGTTCTTTTTAACCTGCTGCCACCAGCAGGCATACTTAGACACCGCTGACACCTCTGTGACAGCATAGGACTACAGATACCTGCACAGGAGTTGTATGCCACGCTGTATGCCACCATGGCTGACAGTTGGCAGCCAACAAATGGATGGAACGAATGGATGCAACCCGTGAAAACTGACTGAATGCTTTTAATGTTGAAAGGTTGTGGACATGAAGAGGATCACTTTGTTACTATTTATTACTGTGAGAGAATGTTTAGAAGTTTCTGTAATGTTACATCAAGTCTAACTCAAATTAGTATGACCAAAAACTACTGTTTTCAGATATTTAAATTGTTGCTGTCACATGCATGTAGAAGAAGTTACATTTTTCTGGAATCATTGGCTCATTGACCTTTCTAATTGCCATTAGGGTGGATAGATGCCCTGTGACTCAGCTATCTTAAAGATTGAAAAAATAGCCTGTCACTGCTCTGACCTAAAATAAAGTCTGAGTGTTCCGATGGAGCACAGGAATTCATCTTGAAGACATCTTCTTTGTCCTAAATGACTTCACTGTATGCACATTGAATCTGTTTGCACAGTTTACCTGTCTGGTGTTTACAAAACACTGAACTTTAATTATTGTTCGATCCTGACTGACCTTATTACCATGTTAGGAGTTTTAAATTATGAATCAAGTTACTGCTGCTCTGCCACCTGCACAAATGGTGCACAGTACATTTCTCAAATTGCAGACAAATCTTTCTTGTTTCTGTGTTGTAGTTAAATGTATTTAATCAACTCTAAGGAAAGAATACTAAATTACACAAAGGGTACACTTCTCTAAAGCTACAACAGATCTAGCAAACATTTTCACCCATATGTGTGAAGTGCCAACACTGTGGCACTTCACACATATGGGTGAAAATGTCCCCCTCTCCCACAGCTATACAGCTAAAGTCTGTTTACTTGTGACCACTGCAACAAAAGTCAGTGAGACCCTACACACTGAGAAACTGTCATACAGTATCTTCAATTTATCTTGCCTGCCTCTACCTGTCAGTGGATCACCAGCTTCCTGACCAAGAGGCAGCAACAAGTGAGGCTGGGGAAAACTACATTGAGTACCAACAATGGAGCACCTCAGGGCTATGTGCTCTACCCACTGCTGCTCTCCCTACACACCAGCGACTTAACCTCCAGGCTCCCACATGGAGTCCTTTAAACCCCTGGGCTCAGTCATCTCTCACAACCTGAAGTGAGAAGCTAACACCAACAACTTAATAAAGATAGCCCAACAGAGGTTGTGCGTCCTGCACCTACTGCAGGATCTTCTCAGGACCTTCTACAGAGCTACCGCTGAATCTGTTCTTTGCTTCTACATCTTACTAGATGCTTTGGATCCGCAGCCACTCGGGAGCATGCCAGAGTCCAGCGAACTGTCATGTCAGCTCAGAAGATTATTGGCCTCTCTCTACCATCCCTCCAAGATATATATTTCTAGGGTCAGGAAATCATTACTGACCCCTCACACCCTGCAATTGCTCACCTCTGGAAGATGCTTGAGGGCCTTAGAAACAACAACCACCTGCTAGTGAAACAACTTTTTTTCCATAGGCTGTCTGCCTCATGAGCAGTTAACCTGGACCCTTCCATGTTACCTCACTTTATAAAGAGCTCTTACAGCTGCACAGTTTGCACAGTATTTGTTCTCTGTGAGGATTCTTTTCATTGCATAATGTTTGGTTTATCTGCACTAGAACGCTTAATATATGCACAGAATTCCTATCTGCTTATCCTTCTTTCTGCTCTTATTCAGTATCGATTTTCTCCTCTATTCCTGCACTTTATCTCTTCTTTCTCTGTTATTGTGTAGTATAGTAAGAGAGACTGTGCCCTACATCTGAGGTCTCTTTTTGAATTTGACCTCACAGCATTCCTGGATACACAATATGATCACTGTCCTGTAGAGCATTACAGGACAGATGGTACATCATGCTCTTCTGAACCTGTAGGACAATTCACTCTTAACACGGTATTCAGTGTGAACTCCTTGTTTAAGAAGAGTCTTTCTCATTATGGCAGCTGAACAGCTAGCTCAGCTTTATAACTCTAACCTAATACAGCACCTCCCTACAAATGTCTGAAAGAATATCATATCAGTCACTGCTCACTTATATTTTATACACTTGTGCTGAGATGGAAAACATCTGGAATTAAAATCCTTTAGTGGTAAAAAGCAAATGTCTTGCAGACAGCTTTGTCTCCACTACATTGTTCCTTTTTCCAGCACAGTTTTCACTGCTATTTCACAATGTGAAAGGGTCTCTATGTAGTTGTGATGGTCCAGCTCCAGTGTTTGAAGGCCATTACTTGATGACCACAGCGAGTGAGGCTAGAAACCAAGTCCTGGCATTCCCATTATTACCACTGAGCAACTGATCTGACCTCTTGAAGTAAAAAAGCAGTGACTTAGCAGCAGTCTAATGAGAGGCATGAAGCTTAGTTTGTACTACACACTCGCACGATTATTTAGCTGTTCAAACAATTCTAGGCTCAAATAAATATCACATTCAGTTGATAGCCTTCACTTAAACATTTGTCTGCTTTTAGTTTGTTTATCTTTTTTATTTTGGAGGAAATAATGTGAGAGAAGTAAGATTTAATGACTGAGCCGACTTGCGCAGTCTGAAGCTGCCAGTCAGACGTTATTTGTTTTTGTGGCCAGGCCTTCATCCAATGGGATTTGCTTTTTTGTGGTTTCCTGTTAGAATCCTGAATTCAGTCTGTGGCCCCGGTTTGTGCAAAAAAAGAGGTGCAATTAGTTGCAGTGAGTTCGCAGAGCTGCTGCTGTTGTCAGGGGCAAATTATGGGCTGTTTTAAGTGGTTTGTCATCATGGAACTGAACTCGATGTTGGATGCCGTCAGTACAGGCCTATTGTGAGGAGCTCTGTGGCTATAATTGCTGTGGTCTTTTTGAAGAGGGTATACACACACACAGACTCTGATCACACGGCACATGCACACACTCAAACACATGGGTCACATACCAAAACTAATGCAGAGATAATTAGGTTCTGTCTTTACAGCTTGGCCCTGAGGTACCTAGGGGCATTAAAATGTCACTTCAAGATTGTTTGTCAGGTGTCATTCTTCATTCTCAGTGATCGACTGCTCAAATTGGACTTCCTGGATCATATTTCATCTTCTCAACAGTACCTGAAGCAAAACATACTAAGATAATCATTCCCACCTCACCCTGAACTGTTTTCTAACTCTTTCTCTGGTTTCAGCTCACAACTTGCTCCTCACACCTAATGTCTGACCTCTAGGAAACAGCTGTCATCTGGAGATTTGATGGGATTCTGACCTGTGTGCGTGTATGTGTTTGCATTTGTTTAGGCCATTGACCCAAGAGGAGATTGCCCAGCGCAGGGAGATAGCAAGACAGAGACATGCTGACAAGATAGCAGTTGATCACACAGCATCAGAGAGCCCCAAAGACCTCATCCACTCAGGGTGTGTGCCACAGGAGGGCCAACCTGAAATACTCAGCACAGGTAAGCTCATCTGTCCACTCACTGACTCATTTCTGTCACTCACTTTTAATGACTTTTCCTACTCTAAATATACAACAGTTTGACAAAAGACTAGCATATTTTGGATTGGGTTTGCAAATTTGTGACAGCTTCAAGGAGTACTGTAAACCTTTGCGTGAAAGTGAGGCATTTAATTTCTGGGATATCATTCTCAGGCAGACTTAACCAGTAGTTTTTGCTTACTGAATAAGTTATACTCTGGAGCAAATTCTTAGACTTTCTTAAAATGTTTACATGCAATATTTTAAATGATTACTAATAAAGTAATACATAGTGGTAGAGTCAAATTGTTAAATGTCTCAGTTTTTTGTCAAAAAAACAGAAAAGAGTTAAATGGTTCTTCATGACTGAGTCACACAGGGACCGTTTTTCCTGTGTATCTTGTTTCCCTCTGTCAGCTAAAATGGAGAGTCTGACACTGAAAGAGTCAACGCCAGAGGAGGAAGAGGTGCAGAGGGAGACCTTTATAGCATTTGCCCGGGTCTACAGCGGTGTGGTCAAGAAAGGACAGAAAGTATTTGTACTGGGGCCAAAGTATGACCCTGCCCAGGGCCTGAGCATGGTAAACCCACGGTTATCAATCAACCCTTACAGTACCTCCTCCACTCTTCTTGTGTCTGTGTAAAGCACAAATTTGTTACTAATTCTCACTTATTGCCATTGAAATATAAAATTCAATATACAGTGTTAGTGTTTGTAGCCTGGGAAAATACACTAGTCCTAGCCCCCAACATATCTCTTCTTACAGAGAACCTGCCAGATTCCATGATAATCCATTCAGTTTGATACATACATGTAGTTAGGTTTACTTGTCTCAGTACAAGAAGAAAAATGATAGTTTGCTGTCATTCAGTCCTTGTCGGCTGTGTGCACACTAACTTATTACAGGCACACTAAGAGCTGTAAGCATAATGTCATCTACATGAACTGGAGCTTCAACTGACAGTGCTACATGGACCCACAAGGGAAACCAAATTTTGGTGACTGACAGCAAGTTATACAACACTTTACTTAACCTGTCACAATTAAGTTCAGTATGTGGTTATGGTCAATCAAAAGAAAACACCTGTGACTATAACACAATACAGGACAAACTGCCTTTTCTATAATGATCTAATGAGGCATACAGTTGAATCAACACCTTTCTGAAACAGCCTGAACATAGATTGAACCTTATCACCATCATGAAGCAGGAGTTATTGCAGGGCTGTTGGATTAGACTGTATTAGTTTTATCTTGGTGTACCTAATAAACTGACCGCTGAGTTTACAAGCAAACACACATTATTGTTGGGTTATTTTATTATGTGTCTACACATATTGCAGATCACCTAACCCATCTCTCAGCTGCTGCAGTGACATACAACAAATGGTTAAATCTACTGTTTCCATTTGTCTGGATGGAAAATGGGATGTTATAACCTACTGTAGTTGTCCATGCATTATAATCCCAGAACAACCCATGACTGCAGTGTTATATTTGTGAGCCTCTTTTCCTCTCATGTTCATTCCTTATTTTATCTCTGCTAGCTGCCAGGGGGTTGCAGTGCTTCCGACTGTGTGGTTGAGGTGCCTCATCTGTCCTGCTGTTCCATGGACCGCATCTACCTGCTGATGGGCAGAGAACTAGAAGAGCTGGAGGAGGTGCCTGCAGGAAATATCCTGGGTATGTTGGTTAATATGTTTGTGAGCAGGTCGGTGTCTTCTTACTGGTTATTGTGTTACTGTCGCTGTTATGCCCTGCTTTATTGGACAGAGTTGGGATCACTTTGCTGGTTAGCAAATTTGATTCCACCTCCACAATACCAGACATGTATTTGATATTTGCAGATGTGCCAAACTCATTACCGTAATTTCCGGACTATAAGCCGCACCGGACTATAAGCTGCACCCACTAGATGTACAACACAAAAACATGTTGTGTCCACATTGTAACATGAGATATTTTGACAGCCAGATTGATCGCCTGTAATTTTAAGTGGCATCATATGCATTTTGCCGTGTGTTATCCTTGTTGAGGGTGTGTGCATGAAGCGAGAAAAGTAGCGGCTTATAGTCCGGAAAGTACGGTACCCATTTTGACACTGCTTACTCCAAGAGCCTCTATTCTATATGACAGGTGACTTAAAGAAGCCTTTCATTAGTTTGAAAGACACTAAATCATTCTTTTTTTGATGAATGAGTTTTGGGGAGACCCCAACCATTGCATTGACATATACAATATTTTCGGCCAGTAGTAGCTTATCAGAAATGCATATGTCTCTGGCTCATAGATAAAAAATTGCAATACATAAATTCCACATGTCTGTTTGCAGCAGAAACAGAGACACCATTCCATTGCATTCTCAACTGTAAAATATCCCACTCAGGTGATGCCTTGGTTACAACATTCCTTAACTTTCACAAAGTTTATAGATAAAGGTCAGTTTTCTAGTCTTGGAAAGAACTGCAAGAAATATAAATGGTTCTAGGCCAGAGGCATTATGGTGGATAATTACTAAACTGTTAATCCATGTGTTTTGTTCTTTGATTTTTCAGTTTCAAAGCATAATAAAAAAATAGCCTTTAAAAAAGTCCATGTTTTTTAAAACCAGAACAGAAAAACCTAAAAATGGAAAAACAAACGGGAAAACAAAGAGGGTCAATGTATCATCAGATTATCCAATTATTTTATGGAACCTGCGAATGAGAAAACGGATCCGTGGTTCAGAAAAGGCAAATCACGTTTCTTCTGTTTTCATCACAAAGTGTGAAATCAGATAAACAAAAAACAAAACAAAACCAAAAAACTAGTTTTATTCTTTTTTCTGTTTGTAGATTTCTGAATGTTCTTCATGAGCAGACAGTGATTGCTGTGCCCGCTCCCACATTAAAATCAATTCTCATGGGTTTATGGCAAATATTAACTCAGCAGTGATAAGTGGCGACTTTATTAGGTACACCTACATAATGCAATTTAATCCCTAACTTAATTTTATATTCTAATTGTTGTTTACATTTCTTCTGCAATTTGTTAACTCAAATAATATCATTATTGTGGCAATATGTTGTTGAGGTTGTCCTGCATGTAGCATATCTAAATGTTTACAGAGCTCATCTTTTCACAAGGTAAAATATGTAAAGGGTGACTTTTAATCACATGTCAAATAAAAATGCTACGTTTATGCTATAATATGGGGATATTACATTACTTGTACATTTGGGATAATTTTCATTCCTTAACAACATTCAGTGGCCATGGGGTAATGGTGGGGATTGGTAACATGCACAGATGTCCACACTTAGTTATCTTGTACAATACACACTGTGTTAATTTTGTGAGATTAACTCACTATTGTTGTCTTAGACAGCAGTATCACTTAAGATAAGTTACCTAGTTGGCTAACCTAATCTATTAAAGCAACCCAAAATGTCACAAGTGTAATTATTGCTATTCATTTCAGCTTCTTACCTTTAAAAATAGCAGTCAAGTCAATGTAACTGTACGGCGCTGCTTCCAGTTTTTGGAACTCTTCGATGTCCCCATGATTCGTGATTTCTACTGTACTGTACTGCATCTGCGTGGACTAACATGGCGCCCACTGAGGCGGATGTGTTTGCGCGTTCCACTCTCGAATGCTGGCTTTTTCTTCGTTTTCTTCTTTTTTGTGTGTTTTTTACTTTTTCTGCAGTGGACAAATGTCATACACTGCTAACATACAACAGACAGGCATTGCTGGATATCGCCAACTCACAAAGCCACTGGGAATTTACTGGTTTCATACCACCGGAGCTACAACACATTGTCCGCTCCTGCAACAACAACAACCACAACAACAACGACAACCACCATCACCCTCAGGGAGCCCCTCGGAGCACCAGGCACAAGCAAGCAGGCTGAAATCAAGAGGGGCAAACGAGGGGGACTCCATGCTAGGCTAAAAGCTTGCGCTACTTGACCGCCATTACCCAGCCTCTTCCTATCCAGACTCTGCGATTCAGCTACAAACACACACTGTACATTGAGGTGACCGCACTGCTGCTTCGGGGAAGGTAAAAGGAGGTGGTGTGTGTGTGTGTTTATCAATAACTCATGGTGTGGAGTTGTATGGACTGTTTATAAGCACTGTTTGCCAGATGTAGAGTTTTTATTGCTGAAATGTCTACATCGAGGTGACCGCACTGCTGCTTCGGGGAAGGTAAAAGGAGGTGGTGTGTGTGTGTGTGTTTATCAATAACTCGTGGTGTGGAGATGTACGGACTGTTTATAAGCACTGTTCGCCAGATGTTTTTATTGCTGAAATGCCGGCCCTATTATCTAGCAAGAGAGCGTAGTGCTGTGTTTTTGGCTGCTGTATATGTTAGCCCAAGTGCTAATCCCTCTGCTGCTCTCAGTAAACTCTTTGATGTCATCAACGCGCTAGAGACAGCTCATCCCGATGCTGTATTTATCACTGCAGGGACTTTAACCAGTGCAATTTATGGACTGTACTCGCCAAATATTACCAACATGTGAAGACACTCGGGGCAAGAACACTCTGGATCATGTTTACAGTAACATACGGGGTGCATACAGGGCCGCACCCCGCCCCCACCTTGGAAGCTCGGACCACATTTCTTTGTTCCTGTATCCAGCTTACAGACAAAGACTGAAACAAACAAACCCTGTCACCAAGCAAATTAAACTCTGGACCCCAGAGACTGAAGGCACCCTGCAGGACTGTTTTGCCCAGACAGACTGGGATGTGTTTAAAGCTGCAGCCACCTCAGAGGACTTTTCTGTC